TAGACAGGCATAAACAGACAGACAGAGATGCAGACACGAGGCAGACGGGCCACAACCTCCCTGTCACGGCTCCCTCTGTAGTGGACGACGCCAAATACGTCGTCTCTCCAGGAAGTAAACACCTTTAACCTCTCCCACAGGCCTAGTATTGGAAGACATGGATGAACCCGAGGTGGCAACACTGATTTTCGTAAGAACTGACGAGGGTGGGGGTGGGGGGGGGGAGAATAATGGGATGACAGACTCTCTCTCACGCCGTCAATCTGATTGATTAAGGTGAACCACCAGTCCGCTCTCCTAACAGCACGCCCTCCAATTCTGATTCAGTGATTTGCGTGAGCGTGAGCCGCGCCGAGGGCCGTCGCAGATGGCGCTGCAACACAGTTCGCCGGGGACGCCCCTCGTCCTGGGTCAGGCTGCAGGTGGCGCTGCCGAGCAAGGGAAAGGGAGAGCAAAGGGATTCTGAGACGCCGGAAGATGATCCTGTCAGCAGAAGACGTCGGGGGGGGGGGGCTTGCATGCAGGATATATATATATATATATATATATATATATATATATATATATATATATATATATATATATATATATATATATATATATATATACACACACACACACACACACACACACACACACACACACACACACACACACACACACACATACACACACACACACACACACACACAACACACACACACACATACACACACATACACATACACACACACACACATACACACACACACACACACACATTTGTTTACGCAGGGACAGGTTAAGACAGCAGGTAAAGAGATTGTCTTTTTTGGGTAATTTTCTGGAATACGTCCACCAATTGGATCGCGACGATTTCGCTGTCGGTGAATTCCTTTCACTGTCTAGTTACCAAACAGAAATTACTGCGCGGAAACCCCACACATCCTTGGCCCCGATAGCTGTTGAAGGAGAGACATGGAGAGGATATGTGGAAAGGAGAAAGGGGGGAATGAGGGGGAAAGGAGGTGAGGAAGAAAGAGGGAGAGTAAGGAGAGATGGAAAGGAGAAAGGGAGAGGGAAAGATGAGGGAGAAGGAAGGAGAAACAGGGTGAAAGGAGAAAGGTGTGAGGGAGAGGGAAAGGGGGATATAAATATAAGGATAAAGGAAAGAGGGGAGAGAAGAGAGCAAGAGAGAAGCGGAAAGGGAGGATTGAGGAGGGTGGAGGTAAGGATAATGAAGGAAGGATGGAGGGAGGGAGGGAAGGCGAATAAATGAGTGAATAAGGTGCTTTTGGTGGTTATAGCCGTAGGTTTTACCGAGAGATTGGTTGGATGCTCGTAGTTTTTTTTTTTTTTTTTTTTTTTTTTTTTTTAAGCCGGCGCGTCGTTTCATGGGATTTTAAAGATGTTGGGCATGTCCCTAGAGTTTCCCATGGCTATTTTCAACGTTTTTCATTGTTGTTTTTTGTTCTATATTCATCCTGTTTTACCTGGTAATTTCCCTGATGTCCTTCGTGCCCTATTATCAGGTTGGTGGAAATGGTACCCAGATCTCACCGATTCCCTTGCACAAGAAACAACGCCCGGGATCGTTGAAAACAAATATTTTGAGTAGATAATGTGCACGGAGGCACTGTAGTGAAATCATCATTAACTGGAGATTTAAGGAAACCAACATTTATTATATCAGTTCTCTTGACTTTTTTAATTCTTAGTTCTTATCATTAACATTCACTCATTTCCACATTTGTCATATATCTGTATCGATGTAGTCTCATAGTCTGTTTAATAATTGGTACATAGATGTTTATTTGTACAAACTCAAGCAACTTATTGTTTGATAGGAAGGCTAATGTCCATAAAACATTATCTATATAGGCATAATTGCATATTCATTTATTTACTGTATATCTATTTTATATCGTTATGCTCAGAGTATACCATAATATTTTTCAGTTCAAACCAGCTGTTCTTATGATTCTCAACATTCAGACATAATTTATATGCTTCATATCGTGACCATGTAATACAGGTTACTAAATAATAGATCCTAATTCAGGTATTATGATAGATGTTATTCATGTGTCTTGCATGCCTCAATATTGGTACAGTAACAGTTGAAAAGAAAACACTAGAGAAAGAGAGAGAGAGAGAGAGAGAGAGAGAGAGAGAGAGAGAGAGAGAGAGAGAGAGAGAGAGAGAGAGAGAGAGAGAGAGAGAGAGAGAGAGAGAGAGAGAGAGAGAGAGAGAGAGAGAGAGAGTTTTTCTCTCTTTCTGTCTCTCTCTCTCCGTGATTTGGCGGAAGGGAGGGAGAGAGGGAGAGAAAGAGAGAGAGAGAGCTGTATATATATAGATAGACATATAAATAGATAGATAGAGAGAGAGAGAAAGAGAAAGGTAGATAGATTTAGAGATATAGAGACAGAAACATATATATAGATAGACAGATAGACAGATAGATAAATAGATAATACAGATAGATAGATAGATAGATAGATAGATAGAGAGAGAGAGAGAGAGAGAGAGAGAGAGAGAGAGAGAGAGAGAGAGAAAGATAGAGTAAAAATATATAGTAAATTAATGCTAGACCAAAACACCGCTTAAAATAAACATGAAAAGCATAAATCAAACCATCAGAACAACATACAAAAAAAAAAAAAAAATCCAATGAAATAACTAGAAAATTCAACACGAATCTTCCCGGCCGGACCTAGAGTTGCTTGGGACGAGACAGGGCCGCTCTCAAACCTCTCACTATTTCAGGAACTGTTTTTAAAAATCATCATTTCATCAGATTGATTATATTTTTGTTGCTAGTGAAAAGGGCACAGTCATCAGCAAATAACAGATACCGTTTAGGAGCATCCACATTGGGCAGATAATTGATAAACAAAAGAAGGAGCAGGGGGCCGAGGCTTGGTCCCTGAGGCACCACACTTAAATAGCAAGTTATTAGCGCTCTGGGCCGGAATTACTAAGCGCTATCTCTCGTAACAGTTACGGGAATATATATATATATATATATATATATATATATATATATATATATATATATATATATATATATATATATATGGTTATGGCCAGAGCTATGACCGTGTAATTTTTGCAATGAGAAAAAAAAATGCACATCTGACATGCTATGACATTATCCACTGCCAGTGGGTTAGACAATTTCAAATTCATATGCAGAAAGTTTTCATTTCAAGTCCCTTCCTGGGTTAACACAAGGTCTTTTGACAATACATTTTTTTTTTTTTTTTTTCTATCCTTCATTTGACTCATATCTGCTGATCAAGGAAAGGTATAAAAATAAGAGACCATCAAATAATCTACTTATAATGCTGTCTGATAAGTCTGAAGTTTGTGCATTTTGCTTTCTTCAAATTGGTGGATGTGTAAGGATTTTATGAAGTAATATGATAATTTCTGATAATGTATTCATAAGATGAAAGAAGAAAAAGAGTTTAAGAGATCCTTTCTCTTATCAAGAATTTCTAGTATTTAATAATCCATGATATGAAATCAATATTTACTATCATTCCAAAAAATTTGTATGCTTGCAATTTGAGTCCAAATTCATCAAATACATTATTCAGAGTGGTATGAAAAAAAGATTTTACATTTTCTTGGTATTTTAATTTTCCTCCAAGAGGAACAGTCTTACCTTCCTCTATTCTTAAGAAAGATAACTAATGTTACTTTCTGGAATGAGAAAAAGCATGGGGAAAAACATAAATCTAAAAAATGACCAACAGTGTTTGATACAAAATTTATTTTTTACTCGTCAAACCAGCACTTTAACAAACCACCACAATATCCAAGCTTCACAGGACACTTTGCAAGGTCATTCTCGGCCATCCATAGAACCGCATCCATCCTGCCAAGAAGAGGGAGACTGGTTTGCGCTTCAGATGTTTCTTATTTTCTTAAAATAGTTTTCTTTGAACTAAACTGACATCACGGTGTCTGTGTGTAACCTACACATGCAAATATACCTGGCCAAGTACCACATTTCATCCCACTCTTTCAGTCTTGCAACCCTTAACATCGGTGACGAACACCAACTGCCTATAAACACTACACATTGTGTTGGTTAAATACTATAAGAAGTAGTTTAATGCACTGAAACACACATTATGATTATACCTAGCTTAGAATAGGCTTTGTATCCAAGGTTTATCCATTGTGTTAAACATGAAGTCCTTTTGTGACCTTGATTTCTCACAAGCCATCTACGTACAACCAACATCCCCAGTATGTCCTCTAGTGCAGCTACACTTACCACAGATTTTGCAAGTATAAATACGCGTTCACATATGCAACTTTACTACGACAAGCGTATATGATAATTGCACTTCTCTATATTCACAGCACAATGATTATTGGCCACTTATGCTGTAAAATGACCACCATCACACACAAAATCTTTAAAAAAGGAAAAAAAAAAAACAACAACATAAGGTATGGATATGTGTGTGTAAATTAGTGTGTGCACCCTAAAGTTATGAGTTTATGGTATGATCAATGCACTCACTTAAATCCACAGCACAATGCTATTTGCCACACTTAACATAAACTACAGCTGACATACCATCCCATCTATAATGGTAAACAAAGTGTACCTAAGGAATATCCTTAGTCATAAATGCATAAGTAGATTCAAACCCTTAGACCTACTACCGATTTATAAAGGTATATATGCATCTATGTATAAATATGAGTGTGTGTGAGAATGAGTGTGAGTGTGAGTGTGAGAGTGTCGGTGTGAGTGTGTGGGTGTGAGTGTGTGGGTGTGAGAGTGTGGGTGTGACAGTGTGAGTGTGAGTGTGAGTATATTTATCTTACTGAATGTAAACAATTATAAAACTGTTGCTAATGTAGTTCAAGAACAGAATGCATATAGTATCTCATGCATATTTCGTTTCCTACACTCGAGCTTCATAACATCATCATTTAACGTGGTTGTAATTTGAATCTCGTTGGACTGCAGGCGTCACCCGAGCCAGAGCTCTAACCTAACCATCACCGGCAAGGGCAAGCGTGTCGCCCTTGTCTTGTATCAAGCCGAAACACCGCTGGATTGCTCGGTGCCTTGCCAGCCACCCACTCCACTACGCGCTGGACCCCAGATAAACCCAGGCGGCTGGTGAGAGTCGATACCACCTCCTCGTCCACAATTTCTGCCAAATGAAGGAAATGACTTAATCACCAGAGTAAAATTGCACGACTGAATTGTTAACTAAATCAGCTTTTGCCAAGACGAATTCAAACCCCATTATACTATTGCTAATCACTTACATTACTGAATGAATTTTAGGTACAAGAAAACCAGTATGATTGAGAAACCATCATTTTGCAATGCAAAGTATGGGATATATTCTAATTATCACAAGGAAAATCAATCTCAACCACACCTTTTGCCAATTTTGTCACAACAACCTCATCAACTATGGGTTTTCGCATACCTCTTAAACTACAGAGGTAATACTTCCCGGCTGGATCATTGTGTGTTAAGATCCGGATGTCATGTTTCTGAGCGAACGTTGTGAACTCCTGTGGCACGACGCAACAGGAGGATAAGTTGACCTGCACTGTGGTTGGATTTACCTAAAAAGAGAAGCAATTTTTCTTGTTTATTTTGATTGCTATATAAACACCTTTTATCTAAGGAGTTAACCCTTGCGATCTGCGTGACGTGACTATCCCATCATGGAAAAATATGGGCTGAGGGCTGGGTGATGTGAACATGCCGTCATTGGACAAAATGGCCGTGGGCCGGGTAACACAAACTCGATGTCATAAGCAAAGGCCTGGGTGGCGGAAAAGACTCACCACAAGTGCACAAACCTCTTGGAGTGTGATTAGACTCATGTGGCACTCAGAAGGGGGCTTTTGCATTATTCCAATCTATAAATGAATGTGGATTGTAAAACATGTAAGCCGTGACCAGAAGTCCAAGGAGAATGCCTTTTCCATGTTCAGCATTATATTCCTGCCTGCTGTGACCAGCAGTGCAGGTTGTATTACGGGAAACTGAAAATCACAAAAAAGAAAGAAGTAGAAAAAAAATGACAAAAACAAAAAATAAAAAATAAAATAAATAAATAAATAAATAAAAAATAAGTTTATGCAAAATATCTTTGCAAAGGGCATAGGATCTTGTCACTGCTCATAAGTGTCCGTGCACATTAACATTAGAATTATTGTTATCTTTTTCTTTCTTTTCTATCATTACTATCATTGACACTATTCATTAGAATCTTCAGTATTTGTTCTTACAAGGAGAATCAAAATGACTTTGCTTATAGTATAGATTATGTTAGAAGTGGTTACTCCTCACGACACACGCCTAGGATATTGGCCACTTTTGTAACCCACTGCGCATATTTTCAGCCCTATAAGCAACGTGGCACAACCGGATCCAATGGGTTGAAACTATTAAAGAAAGTTTATTTTATAAAGAACAATTTTGGGTAAACTGGAGTTACATAGCCTAGTTCCTCTTGTTAATGAAGCTTAACAAATATACCTTTTTAGTGTTCCTTATCCCGAAGTATTACTGTAAAAAAGAAAGACGGACGGAAGTCTTGGCCAGTGCTCAAAATATAAATATATATATTTATTTATTTATTTTCTACATTCAGATGAGTATACCAAAGAAGTGGCAAAACAGTAGTTTAGTGTCATCTGTAACCTGCACTTGTTACATATCAGGAGAGAACTAAAGAAAGCGTCATGCGTCACAAATTATTGTGCTGTGTTTGTCATTTCTAAAGTTGGTTGCCTTTTTTTGCAATTAAAGATATGTATGACACAATCCTCTATTCATTGTTTTAGTAAGAAACAAAAGATACCACATTTCCAAACCCTTAAAAAAAAGCACTTTCCTCCGAAAAAGCCTATGCAAAAATGACTATGTACCCAATAAACCCATCTTAGCAGTAGCAGACAGTAGCAGTAGTAGACATAATGTTCCGGGGACCGTCCCAGATGGTGATATATGACGAAATATTTTGTGAAATATATCTAAAAAAATGTGTTTTGTGTCCTTTTACATACGAAATATGCTTCGATCGAGACCCTGGTAATATGTTTTAGTAATATGAGAGGGATATCTAATATATTTTTTTATACAGATATGAAAGTCAATGTAGGCCTACTAAATGATGATTAATCTTTTTAATTTTATGTGAGTGCGTTTACGTACATATGATCCTCCTCAAAAATTATAAGCACCCAGTGACCCCCCCCCCCCCCCCCCGTGTGAAGGACTTTATAATTAGGATGATTTTGTACTAATGCCATCCACAGTTCCCCATTTCTTAAAAAAAAAAAAAAAAAAAAATAAAAAAATAAAAAAAATGAAAAAAAAAAAAAAATCTTTATCTGGTTTATGTTAGTTGTTTCTGTGGTAAAATGCATTTATTAAACTTTTCAGACGAAAATATCTACTTTTATGAACAACGAACGACAAAAAAAATTACATACCTTTACAAATTAGCGTCCCTATTGAAAATGAAAATTCCTATTGACTTGGTACTCATTGCATTACAAAGTACACTAAATAAGTATTTTTTGATATATAATATCATTAAATTCAGAGAAAATTAACCGAGATAACGAACTTTAGCAAGGTGCCAAATACAATACGCCGTAGC